CCCCAAAACCCCAAAACCCCAAAACCCCAAAACCCCGAGGTAGGTACAGAGGATTGATAAGATAAAGAATAAGATTACAGAGATAATTTTATCATTAAATATTTTAAGGATCTTCCTCTGCATAGTTTTCAGCTCTGCTTTTAGATCTCACATCCCTATTCTCTGTTTCTGGAGCATGCTCTTCTTGTACAGACTATATTTTCGCATATGAAGGGTTACCAAGTGGCTGAATGATGAGCTCTCTTTGCTCTTTCTCCATTCTCTACATTTCACTATAATATTAACAATCATGAAGTCTATAGGTTACACGACAATAGTACAGATCATGATTGCAAGTACAATCAAGCAATTTATCGTCAGAATAATCATAAACCAAGAAGTGGCAGAATTAGTCCATTTGTCACCACTTGTCATGGCAAACAAGTAACAGATAACCCCGATTAAGAAAAGTTCATTGACCAGCTCGATGATGTTATCTTGCAGTTCTTCAAATGGTCTTAGATAGATCTATTTCAGATTAAACATGGTTCTTACCAAAGTTCCGAAGTAGGCTAGCTGAGCTACAAGCAAGATTGAGTATATGTAAGCTCTGTGTACATTCCTTGACATGAAGATAACAATTAATACAAACAAGACTCTTCTGAACAACAGTAAGAAACTGTAAAATCTTGCCCATTTGTTGTTTTTAAGTCCCTCAAAGAACTCCATGGTTGGGGTTTTCTTTTCAGGGTCATACTGATTTCTGTGGGTATAAAATAAATACAAAGCGAATGTTGGAATAATAAGGCATAGCAATAGAAACACCCATGATATAAGATGAGATAAGAAAATAGATGCTGATGATGTATCAAACTCTCTGATCTCCAAAGCTGATGAAATAACCATTGTTTCATGGGCTTCTAATAATAACCTAGCATAAACCCCAAAGAAAATAATGTCAATAATTTTATCTCTAATAATCGCGATGTTTCTAATGACTCAGTTGGGATGGTTCTTATTTTTAAACCAAGGAATCACTTTCAACACAATATGCAAAGCAGTGACCAAAATAAAAGCGCAGACCAGAGAGAAGTTATTAACAAAAGTGCTGAAAGATTCAATGCCAAGGTTCTGGATTTTCTCTCCAGGCTCTCCAAAGTCGAACCAATCAATTGGAATATCAATGCCTGGAATATCACCAGCTGGAAGAAAGTTGAAATTAAGCATTACAAAGGATGTTCCTTCTAAGAATTCATTAATGTCTGAAGGAGTGTACTCATCAATAAGCATCAACAGCAATAGCATTTGGAGTTGATTAAGTAATGACCAAAGAGAAGTCGGAGGAGCCCCTGTCAATGCTGCATTGAACACTGCAATGCCTGCTGCTATTCCTACTTGGGCTTGAGCAGTAGCTTCTGCAACATCTCCAGCAGTAGTAACTTCTTTGTGCTTTGAATCTACAATGATCTCTGTAGTCGAAGTTCCTGAAGGAGTTGTTGTCCAACTAGCTACAACATTGTATTTATATACTTTGTCGCTCTCGCTATCTGGAGGAGTTCCAGACAGAGACAAGTTGCTCTCATGAAAAGTGAGCCAGTCAGTGTTACTTTCGCTGTCAGTATTTGTGAATGTATAGCTGATTGGAGTGGATGTTCCAATAGAGCAAGTAGCATTGACAAACTTGTCGAAAGGAAAGCTTGGGTTAACTTCAATAGTTACAGGTTCATTAAACCTGTTCACTGAAGTTTGCCAAAGAGTAGTTGCAGTTGTTGATGAAGCAATGTTCGGATGACCTCCACTCTGATCTGTTGAAGAATAGGTAGATTGAGCAGAATAAGAATATGTTCTCGCAGAATATCCGTATGAACTTGTTGATATAGACATTGTCATTGACGATGTAGTGAATTCTCCATTGAGACCCAAATGCTCTAAAAATTATTGATTTTCTTTACCAGGGAATGCTTTATATACTATAGCGTTATTTGACTTGCCTCCTATAAGACTCAGCCTATGAGAATATGACAACAATGGTACCTCCCGCTGATTGCATCTGAATAAATTCCACGATATATTGATCCTGCACTATCAAAGATAGATAAAGACTTATTGAATACTAATAATCTCGCACCACTGCTAGCTTGGGCTAAGATATAAATATTGTCAAAGAAGTAATATACTTCATCAACATCAGTTACTGCTTCATCTGAAGCAAAGATGTCTCCTATGAGGCTCCCAGAGGATTCCTCTAGGACCATGAAGGTCAACATTGTTGTAGAAGCGGATGCTCCAATTGGAAGGGCGACATATACTTTAGATTTGTCAGTGTTCGTAGTCGCTGCTCCTTTGTTCATCGATGCTGCTGAGCCTCCAGGGATAGACAGCTGATTTTGCCAGTGCGCTGTGGGCGTGGATGGAGTCGGGTCAACATTAGAGAGAGTTCCGTGATTTGTTGTTTTGTCAACTCCAAAGAAGATAAGTCTAGTGTCGCTGACTCGCAAAAGACCATGAGGGTAAGCATTTCCAGTGACAAAGCACTTGAAATTAGTAACACTAGTATCAAATGCACAAACCAAGGCATTTAATATACCGAAATCTAAAAAGTTAAGCACAAGTGGTTTATAATACTTACCTGTACAAACAAAAAATACTTTAGAATCATCATCTGAAATAAATGCAGTCGGCTTTGATCCCCATCCTTTAAGTGCATCATTTCTATTTAAAATTATTTCATGTTCCACTTTGAATTAATAAGCTATTTAGATGTTGGAACTGTTTTCCAAGAGAATATTTTAGTGCTTATATGGAAGTCTACTACACTATCTATTATGATGGATGATGTTCTTAATTTGCTTGCTCGAGTTAGTGTTATTTGTGATATCGCAAAGCAAATACCAAATGTTAGGCAAGTTAACTTAACTAGACTATCACTATTCCTTATATAATCCAAGATAAAGAAGCCTTCTTAGTACAGTGATTCATCTATAGAAAGAAGCAAAGAAATGTATTAGATTAAGGATTACTTTTTAAAATTCCAACGCAATTAGTGGTAGATATTCTTTGATTTTAGATAGTTAAATTTATAAGTGATAGGAGGAAATATTTTACTAATTCTGTTTCTAATATTTTATTCAAGACAATCTTAACCTAAATCATAGAAATAGTCAAAGATTTAAGATTACAATGCCAATCCTCATTGCACTACTCCATATAAATAACAATATTCTTCTTCATAAAAAAATAAGACTTAGGTTTTTAAAAAGAAATGCAAAAATAAACTTACCCATTTTGCCAATAGTATGTAGTTCCATCGGTAGTATTCATTTTCATGACTTCAACACCAGGAAAAGAAGAATGATTGTCAACTAACCAAAGAATAGATCCAGCATTGTTTAAAACATGAGCGTGAGGATAAGGATGCTGGCCGACAGTGAATCTTCGAACCCAAGGAATCGTTCCATCTGCATTTTCTCTAATAATATCTCCTGATACAGTATCTGTTTTTGCTATCCAGTAGGTGACATCTATAGAGGAAGAACTTCGATCTTACCTGCTGTGCCTACTGCATCTACAAAGTAGGAAGTGGTATAGGCTGTACCCCAATTTTGTGTGATAATCTCTTCGGGCACTAAAAGTTATACTGGTTCTTACATAAAACAGAAGTGTCAACCGTGCACTGGGTGCAGAGTGACGGAATGACAAATAGAGCGAGCAATAGTGCAAGGATACATTTTGAAAATGGAATATTAACCATTTTTAATATTAATGCAAATATTTCAATTCTTAAATAGTGTTACGGGGTTTTGGGGTTTTGGGGTTTTGGGGTTTTGGGG